AAGAAAGAAAGAAAGAAAGAAAGAAAGAAAGAAAGAAAGAAAGAAAGAAAGAAAGAAAGAAAGAAAGAAAGAAAGAAAAGCAGATACAATAGGACTCCCTTTTTGTTTAAAAAATAAACACATATGTTTCTGTATATATATGTAGGTATGTATCCATGCACGATTGCCCTGTAGGTGCACACACTCATGTGTAGACATAGACATAAATGAGTGAATGCAAAAAAAAATTGCATCTCATCCTTTAGACGGTGGTGCAGGATGATTTTTAGATTTTGCACTTTCCTGGATGTTTTCATTTTTCTACAAGGAATGCATTATTACCTCTGAGTACATTTTTTTTCTCTCACAAAATATCCCACTTTCACACCTCAGATTTGCCTTTTCTTTCACCCTCCCTCAGAGTTGATGCCTCAAAGTTTGGTTAGAATGCTTCATGTTCCTGCTCTAGATCATGCTCTGGGCTCTGCCCTTCCACCGCTGTCTCTCCTGCCTCCTGACCTGTCCTGCTAGTGGTCACTGGCAAGCTGCTGGCTTCAGGCCCTCTGTTCTCAGGACACTGCGTAAGGGCTGTCACGTGCCAGGAGGTCACTGCCTTGGGGCCACCACCATGACAAAGACAGGCTCCCACCTCCCCTCCCGTCTTTGACCCCAGGTTGAAAGTCCAGAGCCAGGGCCTCAGGCCTTGACTCATGTTCTACGGGGTGGGGACTGCAGGGCCTGACAACAGTGACCCTGGAGACCAAAGCAGGGAGTCCAGGTGGTGGGAAGAAAGCAGAAGAGCTGGGAAAACTGGGCGCCATGTATGTGAGTGTTCAGCTGGTCGCCACAAGCCAGCCCACTCTGGGAGCTTCCCTTCTCCCCACACAGGCTGTCACACCCTCAGCAAAGCCTGGGCCCCAGATCTCAGCCCAGCCAGCTCCCACCTACTCACATTCTCAGGAGTTTCTTTGTTTGCTTTCTGCCTCCGGAGATCTGCCCTGATGAATGCTGAGAAGAAAGAACCATAGAGACATTATTAAACAGATCAGCGATCAAGTTCATCCAAAAGAGGGAGCCCTTGTTTTTCTAAGGGTCACAGGTATCCCAGACCTACTTCAGACCTTTGAGGGAGCTGATAAATTGGATTAAGCCCAGGGACTTGCGATGTCCCTAACAGGCAAAAGTCATCGATAGAGCACTCAAGTTTGCCAGGAGCTTGCCCATAGGCCTAATCCTCTCAACAATCCCATTTCCCAGAGGCTGGTTTGGGGGTCACACTGAGATTCAGACAAGGGTCTTATGGCTCCAGAGCCCTTGCTCATTCCAGCAAACATGCCCCTTCCTCCCAAATAGGGCATCTTAGGAAACAAGCCTTCCTGCTATACCCTGCATGGATACCACAATCTGCACGACCACTTAAGTTACTGGAGTTGATACCAAATAACCTGCAGCTTCTCCTTGTCCTCAGTACCCAACTCACCAGTGAGAGACGCCCCAAGGGTGAGGAACACACACAGGAAGATATTCCCAGGCATGGTGCCGTAGTGGTCAATGATCTGGCCCTGGGAGATGGTGAAGATGATCCCAAATACCTGGAAAGACACAACAAAGACTGCAAACAAGCCCAGGGAGCTGTAATGCATGGCAGTAATGCAGTGTCTGCGGTGGCCAGGCCAGGCAGGCCACAAAGAACACTGCTTTGGGGGCCACTGTCAAATAACAGCCTTACCTGGGCAGACACGTTGAGGAGGCCAGAAGACATGCCTTCCGACTCTGGGTATGTCAGTTCCACAGCAAACTCAAATCCCAGGGGAAGATAGCCAGTCATAAAGAAGCTGAAGGCCAGAGCAGAGAGACAAGGTGATGAACAACTTCCAGGACCAGCGAGTGGGGTGCCTACAGCCCCTCCCTTAGACTTCCCTTTCCCATTTCGTTTCTTCCCATATCAAGACATGCCAGGTGCTAGAATGACCAGGCCATCCCCCAGCCGTACCAAGGAAAGAAAGGCCCTGCCCACCAGGAAGAAGCTTGCACGTAAGCTTTGTATTCAGGGGCTTTGGGGGCTTCCTGCTTCTACCTTCAGCCCATTACAGACAGAGTCAGCTTTCATAGAAGTGCAAGGGTGCCTGGTGTGTTCAGTTCTTGGCTCAGAGATGGTATCACGGGTACACAGGCCCTATGTTGGAGTGGGGTGTCCCTATATCCTGACAGGATCTCCATGGCTTTCTGGAGCCTGGAAGAGGAGCTTGGAGTCTTTATTCCCTTCCAGAGAAAGAGTCTCTATATATGCCAGTTTCTCTCTCTCTTTCTCTCTCTGCCTGTCTGACTTTCTCTCTCTCTCTCTCTCTCACACACACACACACTGCCCACAGAAAAATAACTGGGTGATAGAGCTGAGACCTCATGGGAGGGGCAGTGCTTCCTGCGATTTCTCATACAATCCACCTAGAATGTTCCAACTCTAATTTCTTGTGCGACTCATCTTACTGCCTTCACATCTATTACCTCTCCAACTCTCCAATCCTCCCAACAAGAGGCAGGCCACCCTGATTGCAAATGAGAGAACTGAGGCTCAGCAGGTTTGAGTGACATGGTGACAATCAGCAACAGAACTGAAACCGAGACTCAGAGTTCCGATTCCAAGACTAAGTGGTGACTCCAACTTGTCCCAGACAGAGCTAAAAGGGACTCTCAAGAATCGCGGGCCTCTCAGTGGTCTGTGATGTGCATACTTCACTCCCAAAGCAAGGGTGGGCCTGGAAGCCCTGACTGCCTTTTGAAGTGCTAAGTAAACAAGACCTCTGGGCACTGTTGCCACAGCTCAGAAATCAAGAAGAAGGCAGCGGAAAGATCTAGAATACTTCCTAGAATATCAGCAGCCTAAGGTAATATTTTCCAATTAAATAGGTTAGAGATGAAACTTACCCCATTGTGCCAGCAGTGATGAACACCACCCACAGGTGTCCCAGCTTCAAGGTGAACGTATACACCACCATGCCCACCAGCGTCATGATGTAGACCACCAGGGTCGTCTCCCTACAAGCAGAGGCAAGAAAGCTGAGCTATGCACTCTGGTCCTCTATAGGATTATGGAGTCATGCATTCACCCACAAGTATCTATCGGGCCCCTGCAGGGTGACAAGCCCTCTCCTGGGCACTGGGCCATCTGTTGTCACAGAAAAGTCTATCCCAGAAGCTGATGGGATGAGAACCAGTGATCCATAAGTAATTACTCAAAGATATTGCAGTGGGTGCTACAGGGTCACACTCATAGGACACAGGGTCTAACACTGTGTCCTTCCACCATGAGCATCAGGAACCAGACAAGGAAAGCTGAAAGCTTCGCATGTCTCCCCAGAAGCCAGAAACGTGGTGGGGTGCCAGCAGACACCCGATAGTTAGATCAAACAAATAACTACATCACTGCTTTTGTGAAGCACTTCTTTTTTTTTTTTTTGTGAAGCACTTTTAATGCATTTGTTATTTCACCCAAGTCCTGCAAGAAATGTATGAATATCACTGATTTTACAAATGAGGAAACTGAGACTCAACTTGCTAAGTTACTTGTCCAAAGTCACCTGTTGAGTGAAATGCCACTGAGTACAGGAATGATAACTTACTATGTGGTGGCATCTTTGCAAAAGTTCAAGGCCAGAACCAGAGTCACCTGACTGCTGGATGCTTTTCATCAAACATCAAACTGGTGCTTCAAAACACTAGTTGTGAAGGATAAAGCATAATGGAGCTTCCTCCAGCTCCCCTACCTCCCCCCACAACCCCAAGGTTGTCATCCTAGTTCCATCCAACCTAGAGAAAACAATTTCACGGACACCAGTCTCTCCCTGATCCCACTAACTCATAAGATACTGGGACTTTCTTTTGCTATCTTTGTCTAACCACTGCCTTATAGAAAACTACTGACCATTTAGAAAAACCATCTGTAACACCAGCCTGAGGCAAAAGAGCCAGGCTGGGAAAATCGGGGATCCTTAAGGAAAACTGCACTGAAATGACCAGGTCACAGAGCTCTCGCACCCGGGGCATGTCCTGTCTCAGGCTGGGCAGTGGCACTGGGAGTTGACGGTCAGTGCTGACCGCTGTATCTTGGCATCCAGTGATTCAAGGAACCAATGATTCCTGGTGAAGAGGGCTGAGGAAGTGTCCTCCCCAGAACTTTCCCTGTATTTATGAATTCATCCGAATCATCTCTGCCCACACCCAAGCCCAGCTGACATTCCAATCCCTCCCTTCCTGCCACGGAGGAAGCCCAGGAAGAGGGACACTGTTGTTTACCGGTCAGGGAGCAGCCAGTCCACACTACTCTTGTGTATGGCCAGAGCAAGTAATCGACAGATGGCAGAGACAAGGCAGCGGCCAAGCTCCACCACCAGTAGTGAAGTGGACCAGACTGGCCGCGCTGTTCCAGGCGTGGCCTCAATCGGCCTTTGATGAGAGCAGCCGCAGTGGCCTTGGTCAGGCCAGACCCACACAGAAGCAGGCTTGTGTGGCAAAGAACAGGTCTGCCACTGTCTCTGGACACTGGGAACACTAGAAGCCTTGACAAAACAGCCCAGAATGCCGCCCGGCCTCAGCACAGGACAGTCCTGCAGCTTCCCCACTGGCTAGCATTAATTGATCACCCAGTGCATGCAGAACCCTGAAAGATGCAACAGGAAAGGAGTACTTCTGCGTACTTTTTCCCAAGCTGCCTACCGAAGAGGCAGCCAGGCTGCTTTTGACAAATGCAGACTTCCTAGGAAGCTTGCATCTGCGATGGGGCCCAGGAATCTATGTATTTAATATGCATCCTGGAGGAGCCAGGCATACACTAAAATCTCAGAAAGACCGCTCTGGGCCCTCAGAACCACATCAAGCATTCAGGCCCAAAGCACATCTTATTGACTAATAAGATACAAGCAGCTGCAAGTTAACTCTCTGCAAACTGGAATAAACATGGGGTGTTGATTCAGAGAACCCCAGTGGGATCCAAGATGAGCTGGGAGACAGGGCACGACATCACCTCACTTCTCCACTCTGGGGTTTCCACACACGTTCCAACTGCTAACATTTTTCTATATTCATTTTCATTTCTCCCCCACCTACACTTCCACAAACCACTTGGGGGTTGAGGGAGTTGTCCCAGGCCTCTGTCAGCTCTCTGTTTCCTAAGAATCTCACGAGGAGACTACGGTTTCCTTCATCTTAAAAAAAGAGGAAGAGGAGGCTCAGAGAAGGCAAGAACTGCCCGTGACCTGGAGGCCTCCTAACTGCTGTGCCCAAGCTTCTGGAGCCTAATGAGAATGAATATGTCACTTCAAAAACGAGTCCCCGATGGTCAGCTGGAGAGGAAGAGCCACTTACTTGTAGGTTTTTGACTTGTCCAGCCAGATGCCGGAGATCATGGCCCCAAGCATTCCAGCGAGGATGATGGTCAGGCCGATTCTTCCAGCATTCACTTCTTCCCCCTGGGAAAACCACAGTCCCAGTGACCACCCACGGATGCGACAAAACATCTGACAGCACAGTCAGCACGAGGGCAAGGGACGAAGGCAAGAAGTGTGAGCTCCCCAGAGCCCGCACTCAGAACGTACCAGGCCAGGAGGCCTGCTGGTAAGTGGCCAGCGGGACGAGCCGGGGGTGGCGGCTTCTCGCGACACCACATGATCCCAGGTGTGTGCCCCAACCCGGGTGCTGGGGGAGCAGGTCCTGTCCTAGGCCCACTTTCACACTTACATATTTTTTTTTTAAAGATTTATTTATTTGTACATACAGAACTGGGGTACAGGCCAGAGGTTCAGGGGCGGTGAGAGGCTTCACCAGAGACAGAGCAGGGAGCAGAACAGGCAGATCGGGGAAGTACACTGCTGAGGGGAGCAGCGGGCGGGTCAGGAGAGGTCTGCCTCGCCATGTGGTCACCTCCGGGGCAGGCAGGGATCGAACTCATGCGGAAGCGGCGTTAACTTCTCAGTGCTGTGCTTTAACCCGCTGCGCCACCAGGGAGGGCCCTACACTTATATTTTAATTTAACCCTACAATGATCCTTTCTTTTGCCTTGTTTATTATTATCCTCATTTCACAGATGAGGAAACTGGCACTTTGTATATTCAAATATTCCAGACTTCGGTTTTCGAGCTATCAGTTCCAAAAGGGAGAGAGAGGAAGATGACAATGACATATTTCTGAGTGCTTATTCTGAACCGAGCAGCTGAAGACTTTTCATAACCATCTCATTTCATGTTGAACTCAGACCTGTCAAACTATAAAATTAAAACACTTAGCCACAGCCACAGCGGCCTCCACCTCTGCAGATGTGAGACTTTTTTTTTCAAATAAGGGTTGTTCTTGGTCTTGACTCCTCAACACTTCCTACCTTCTCAGGATCTAGCCCTGTTGTTTCTGGAAGATTTTTAAAAATGCTTTCAGTTAAGCAACTAAGAAACCTTACCCATATTTTACAAATTAAGTATTTCATATGTGATTCTATATGTAATATTGTATTGCCAGGCACCATCCTCTGTACTGTGTAGGTCTGACATTATTTACTTCCTAATGCTAAAAAGAATCTTCCAGAAGAGTCTCCTTTTCTTTCATTGGCAGAAAAGAGAATGAGGCCTCAGAGATGCTAACTAGCTTGTCACACAGCTTAGAAGAAGGGGAGCTGAGACACCAGCTTGTCTCCTTCCAAGTCCTGTTAGCATCCCACCATACCACAGTGCCAGAATTGGGGGGAGACAAGCTGCCCCAACTTCTGCCGAGACAGACTTAGAAATCTCATTCTGGCTGGGCCCAGCAAGGGTGGGGACACCTTACCGGGTAGTGTAAGATCACCATGCGGTTCAGCAGTGTGGACAAGGCATAAAAAGCACCGGCGTTCAGACCTGAAAGAGAGAGGAAGAAGCAGCATCAGGGTTCTGCTGCAGGCACTGTTAACTCCCCCTCCAGCAGTTCAGAAGTCAGAGGTCTTCATCCCTGTCATCCCTGTGTGGTGACCTCAGAGGACAAAATTCCAGTAGCTGGAGGCTACACAAAGAAAGACTCCAAACGTAATCATTTTAACCTTTTCTTAGTCAAATAGCATTGCCCTCTGATCCCTTTGAACCCTGTTCTAGGAACACAGTACTTGTTCTGGCAAGTACTGCTCCTGGGTCTACTTTCCTCCTCAGTGCTGGCTGGACCCAGGTCAGGACTCCTAGCCACCTGCCAGCTCTGTGCTGTCCTCTTCCGTGCCCAGACTTCCCCTCCCCGCTGACCCCAGACACCAACCCCTCTGCAGGTGGCATCCCACCTTGCCAGCTCTCCTTCAACCTTCTTCTTTTGACGGAATGTCACATAAAATCTTATATTTGAAACCAGAAAGGGCCCTAAGGAGCATTATTTGACTCCCCTAATTCCTCCATTTATCCAGCAGGAAGTGAAGCATGTAGAAAATACTGTTAGAATCTGTGCGGGAAAAGGGGAGCTGAGCCTGGTGGCTCAGTGGGTTGAGCGCAGCACTGTGAAGCTGGCCACAGCCGCTGCAGTGTGAGTTCAATCCCCAGCCTTGGAGGTCACCCACAGGCCTCTCCTGGCGCCCACTGCTCCCCTCAGCAGTGTACTTTGTCAATCTGCCTGTTCTGCTCCCCACCCTGACTGTGGTGAATCCTCTCACTGCCCCTGCACCTCTGGCCTGTACCCCAGTTCTGTATGCTTCAATAAATCAATCTTTAAAAAAAAAAACTCTGTATCTTTAGGTATCTTTAGAGAATGAGGCCATTTGTCCAAAGCCAACAGCGAGTTAGCAACTGAGATAAGGCTGGAACTGACAAAAGAGAAAAGGCCCCCATGCTCCCTTAGCTCATGATGATGCTGGTCATAGTGACAGTGACGCCAATGGTGGCAGCACCTGCACAAGTACTGGATAATTATAAGCACCTTATAATTCCCACTGTGAACCCCAAAAAGTAATGTTATTACCCTAGTACTAATACAGAGTTTAAAAACAAATACAGAGGTCACTCTGTAATGCCCAGAATCATCTGTTTAAGCTAAACGTGAAGGCCACAGGATTATTGCAGCCCCACGGACATCACACCCACTGAGAAGACAGGACACACAGCTCACTGGCAGGGCAGCCTCAGGAACCAGCCCACAGGACCCCGGTCACTGCGCCATCCAGAAAATACCCCTTGGCTCCAGGGATGGCTGAGGGGCAAGAAGGGAAGCAACCAGGCATGACCCTCACAGGAGCCTCTCCCTTGTAACGCTCCCATGGGCATAGTGTCCAGGATCCCTGAAGAGGACAGGCCAGTGAAAAAGAGTCGTCTTACCGAGAGAAGCACAAAGAATGGCTTTCTACAGAACAGACCATAACCAGTCTGGTTATGATCATTTTTATCCCAAGCAATGTCCACCAAAAGCAGTTGCCATATGCCCCTGATCAGGTTTCCAGAGGAATGAGGTACAAAGTCACACGAAGGTCAAATTCTCTCACAAAATGGGAAAAGGAGGCTTTTGTGCTCTTCGCACAAGCACACAGGTGGCGCGTGTTGAGGCTGGACTGGCACCCACAGCCCTTGTCCTGACTCACTCTATTTTACATCTTCACAAAGCAGGCTCTCTAAGATTTCCCAGCTCAGGTTACTGACAGGTTTCCTTGACTCCCTGGGGAGTCCCCAGCAGGTCACCTCAGGGATGCAGCGAGGCTCCATGCCGCCTACCATGCGACAGGACAGCAGTGGGCCTGTAAACCAAGCCACGAGACAGGCCAGACTGATTGGGTCTCCAAGGCTCTCAGCAGCTTCTCCATCAACTAGCATACCTGCCAAACCCTCGTGCCACACCCTCGTTTCCAGTCACTCGGAAACCCCCTGAGTCAAGAGGGCACGTCAGGAGACATTCCTGAAAAGGATGCTGGTGAGAGGTATGGGCAGGGAGGAGGATGAAAATTCCCCCCTTCCTGTTCCTCGGGCCTCTCAGCCTCCAGGCCTTGCCTAACACTGCAGAGGGCAAGGGGCTGTGCCATCAGTTCACACCCCTCTCCACATGGTCTACGTTTGCCACTCATGGTTAAGTAGCACAAGTCACCTCCACTGCCCAAACCAGTGAGTTCCAAGAGTGAAATCTGAGTTCTACCCTGGGTATGAATGCCTCTTACAGGGACGATGGTTACCATGTCCCGTTCAAGGACAACTACTCCAGCAAGTCGGTCCCATCAGGGTCATAGTGTGTGAGATAATGCCATCTCCCCTGAAATATCTAGACATTCTTGGGTATCAGTCACCTGGAGAAGAGCCGGTCACTGAAGAGGCAAGATTTGGGAGGGCAGAAAGACTTGGCATCCCTGAGTCTCCTTCGCTCCTTTTGTCACCAGGTCCCCAGATGTCTTACCCACATGACTCTGCCAAGTGTCTCCACATCTTTGAGTACCTAGGCACAAGTCCCAGCTGGACAAGCAAAAGAAGTGGGCCTGCCTGCCTTCCATGTTGTATAGAAACACCTGGTCCTCAGCTGGGCCCTGGTGCCCAGTAGCTTCCTTGCTCCGGAAGTCCAGTTCATGACATACTAGTACTTGTAATTCAAGGTGGGTGCCTGTAAGTGGGGAGGGAGAAATGGCAACTCCCCTTCTTGAGCTATATTTGTAATACTCTAGTTCCATTCAGAGCAGAGGTGAATGATCTTACTATTTTCTGGAGGGGGGGATTTAAAGACAAATGATGGGCACAAGAGGGGGGAAGGTGATAGGCTCAAAAACTGGCAGAGCAGACACCAGAGCTCAGACCTCCACTCCTATGTGCCAACTCTAAACTCACTGGCCGCAGCATTCAAGGCTCTTACTCCAAGACACTTTCACCCACATCTGCAAATGTGCTCAGATGCTATCGTCTACTTGACTTCCAGCTATGTGCTGATAAGAGCACGTAACTGAGGGAAAATATGCACAAAGTATGCACAACCTCCCTCTTCAAAGTCCAACCCAAGAATGAAGGGAATTCTGGGAGGTTTCAAAACATCTAGTCGAATTTACAGAAGACCTTTGTTTTCATTTTTCTAATTTGGAGTGGGCGAAGAAGACAAAGATCCCCCGGTGAACTAGGGGCCAAGCACTGCCTTTATATGGCCTGTAAACATCTGAGGCGCGCTAAGGTTCACACCTCATCATCCCCAAATCCCAAAGACGCCTGGTCAATGTCTTGTTTTCAAAACCCTGGAACTATAGACCGTAGGAAGAAAACCAAGCCAGCATCTGGTTGGAAGGGTTGAATCTGAGAGAGCTCCACACTACCCTCAGTACATTCAAAACCCACTCAGGTAAGCTGCTCTAAGAGCCCTGGCTCTATCTGACAAAGGGTCCTTTTTGCACACAGGTGCAAAAGGTGCCGCTGTTAGGAAGGTGGGCTTTGGCGGAGACAGGCAGAGGTTGAAGTTTAAGTAAGCTCTGCTTCTAACCAGCTGTCCAACTGTGGGCAAGAAACTAAATCTATCAGAGCTTTGGTTTCTCATGAATAGAATGGAATAGTGTTAAAAATTTATGTCAAGGACTTCTCCAAAGAGGAAATGCAAATGGCCAACAAACATATGAAAAAATGTT